GATGATGCTCCAGAAGTGTGTGCATAATTTTATGTCAAAAAGTACTCAAAACCTATTTTCTGCCTAAATGACCTTGACCTCAAGATATGCTTTGTATTTTTCTTTAAAACATTTAAGGTTATTAGCATTACGAATATTTAAAGGTATATTGTTCCAAATGTTCATGCCATAATAAGAAAATGTGTCTTTAATATAATTTGTTTTAGGTCTTGTCCATAATACAATATCTTTTCGTGACCTAGATCTTAAGTTATATATTTTGTTGTCGGATAAAGTCATCAGTTCTGTCATATAAGTCGGTGCCATGTTATTTAAAGTTTTAAAAACAAGCACCGCCGTGTGGTATTTACATCTGTCAAGGTACGGTAACCAATTAAGAGTTTCGAATAGATTTATTGACGGAGATCTTTGAGGTTCCTTTATGGAGATAGAACAAACCTCTCTTTCACAGAATAAGGACATTCGGACATAATAATAAAAGTAATAAAGGCAAGAGACAAGTAGCATTTACATGTATACCTCAGCATCCCTATAGTCCTGTATTGCTGCTAAATTGTGTGCAAAGTCTTTGAGATTCTTTGTTGTTGAAACACTCACTTTCTCTTTGTCTGCATACTCTACCACTTGTTTCGCTAGTAAATCACCTAAAAGTACAAAAGGAAATGAATAATTCTAGTTATTTGCTGGATCATATTGTTTGCATGATAGTCTAATGCTGTTCATGCATATTTGCTTATATTGTAAATGGGTTTACCAGGAATTGTGACATATATAGGAGAAATACACTTACTGGCAGACAGTGTGCCAGTAGGGCAGACATGGGAAAATCTATAAGCATCCCACCTCCCCCCACTCAACACACATTGTGTTGAGGCATAAAAATTTAAAATCTACATTACATACCCTAGAAATCTAAAGTATATCATATCCAGTATGAAGTAAACATGTCACTTAATTATTTATTAATATATTGTGTCAAATAACATCATACCTTTGTCTCTCATTCTTGCCATTTTACGTGTGATAGATCCAAGTGTCTCACAAAAAGCACCATAATTCTTTTCTATATGGGCAACCCTCTCTTGACAAAACTTTACTTGCTTCTCCCTGAAAATATTGTTAATACTTTTATAGTTAATAGTTTTAATTATATTCAACAAATAACTGTTCAACTTAATTCACTTCTCTGTGAAAATATTCGTTCAACAAAAAACTGCCAGTCAATATTGATGGCATGGGCCTACAGTTCTTCCTGCTAAGTTAAAACATGTATTTTATCTTCTTCAATATGTCACATCTATCTGATCTCCTGATACTTTCATACATTTTTCACAAAATGTGACATCCAAGTGACCTTTTTTGGGTTGAATATAATGACCTTTTTTTACATGTAGGTACTTACAAATTATATCACTGATTAGTTTTAAGATATTAAAGTAGTACATGTATTTACTTTCTTTTTATTTTTAAATAACTGAATAAAATTCAAATTTCAAATCTAAATGTTCTGATACCCACCTTTTTAATGTACCTATGATTGATTATATATTTCCATAGAAAACAATTGATCTATCAATTTTGCACAGTACTTTTTCCAGAATCAATGTATATATTTGATTTCTTGTAATTAGACATAACTTGACAATTAAATAAAAAATACAACAAACATGCAAAATTTAAAAAGATGTATCAATCAAATTTATTAGCAGTTTAGTATGTATCAGCTATTATAAATATAAAATAAATAGAAAACTGCCTGAGCTCAAATTGTACATAATAGATCAATTTCTAAAATCTGTAACTTATATGAATGATTAAAGATATGTTCAACTTTACAGTGGTATTGGCCCATTTTCAAGGTTGGACAGATTTTGCTGTGTCTGTTCAGTATCATTAACTTCTTCTACATTACTGTCACTTATATCCTCAATGACATTATCCTCTCCTGATACACCATCATTTGAAACTTTGCGGACATTACGTTTTGATTTATTTTGTGTTTGCCGTGTTAGTGTACTATCATCATCATTACTGACATTACTATCAGGTTCAATATTTTCTTCAACATCATTTTTCTCTGACTTCATTTTATCACTGGCTAATCTTTTATTTTTTTCTGCAAGAATTTTTTCACAAAGCGAGGAGTTTTTTCTCTCACTATAATCTTTCCTTCTGTCATTGGCATTTCTATTACTTTCCATGTCTGTCACAGTTACTTTATCTTTACTTTGCCTCTGTTTCCTAGTTGTCTTTGTATGTGTATCACTAGACATATCACTGACAGAGTCATTGTCATCTTCTACCTTCTCTAGACCTCCCTTTCCACTGACCTTCACTTGACGTGTCTTCCCTGATTTATTATCCATGATCTTAACTTTCTTATCCTCCTGTATAGTCTCACATGGTACACTTATATCTGATACTATACTTGCCTCATCTTCACTAAATGTCAATAAATTATACCTCCTTACATTATGTTTACCCTTTTTACCTCCCGACATTCTGTTTTAATATAATCAACACTTTTTTATTTTTTATTTTGGGATTTTTTCAGACAAATCTTGCAAAATTAATGCAAATATTTTCCACACAATTTTCTGTTTGTTTACAATATAATTAGAAACTTTTCAAAATTGTTGACACCAGTTTTAAATATGAAAGTCCTCAATTGCTGGACACTTGTATATACACATTAACTTCCAGATTTTGAGAACAGAATCGTTATACCGGTACTTGATAAAACCATCCTGTATTCAGACAGATTACTTATTGATTGATATGAGGCAACAGATCACAACTTCTTATAGATTTTCCTTTGTCTGACTAGATCTAATTAAGCCAATGTCAGTTTTTACACAATAACAAATTAATTATTCATCAAGTTGTATTATCTTATCCAATCAATATACATTAATTAAGATACCCAGTTAATATTATTGAGAAACAATATTTGATAACCATTAAGTAATATAATTAATAACCATTAAGTAATATGCTTGTATTTTAATTATTAAAGCAAAACCTTGCTTTAATAATCAAAATACAAGTGTATTACTCAATAGTCAGGCCCGTCGTCACGATTTTGTGATTGGTGCGGCCAATTTGATTGGTTTTAGGTAGAACCTAGGGGGGTACAGGGGCATGCTCCCCCGGAAAATTTTTTACTCTAGGATGCTCTCAGGGGCGTTTTCCCATATATTTGGCAAAGTTTACAGCATGCAGCTAGTACATGTTATAGTAATATGTCAACGATTTTTTTTACAGATTTAAGTGCGTCGTAAGTTTTAAGGGTGAAATTTAAGGTTCGCATGACGGACGGACATGTGTACATGAATTGATATTTGGCAAATGAAAAATAAACAATAACTGATGTTATTATAATTCTTTAGATCCATTTCTATCTGATGATTATAAATAAACAAACAAAAGAAATATTACAGTACGTGGATTATTGTTTAGCATAAATCACACAATGGTATTAGCTTAAATAACAATCGATGACATGATGGAAGAAAAGTACATAGGAAACGAGTCAACAATAACCACTTTTTGCTTAGCAGTAACTTGTATTTTTGTTAACAATAATCTTACATAACACAGAGTCTCATTTTATGTAAATTTTCCAAAAACACATCGCCGTCGTTCTCTGGTAGTAATGAATTCGTCGGCAATTACGTACACGTAAGTTGAGTGAATCTGTCCAGTTAACACCATTAGATTGTTCAAACGTACTTGAGACATTGTCGATCTCAGGTATGTCTTAATTCTTCTGAGCGCCGAGAATGTCCTTTCACTGGTAGCATTAGTAGCAGGTATTACTAACAAAATCTTAAGCGACACAACGACCTCAGAGCAGAGAACAGTGCTCGTTCTAGCACCAACTGTTCTGACGCAAATTTCAAAATGTCGGGTAGAGTAACAGTACTATTTTCTGATTTGTCAAAATGTGAACGTAGCAGCTGAAGCTGCGCATCTAAGATGTCTCGGTTAATATCGTTACCACAGAACCAAGCTCTCTAGTGGACTCGGTCTTCAAAGGTTGTGCGGCCTTTATAAGTAAATTCTCCACGTACGTTTGAACCCGGTTGGTCAAATCTCTATTTAACACTGACGATGGCAAGATCGATTGCATCAAAGTACTTAGGCAGGAACACGTCCTGCACTGTAACGGGGTGGAGCCAACATCATTCCCCATCTCGAATCGTGTGGGCGCCTTTCTCTTCCGCAGAACATTTGGATCGTTAACACCGACGCAATCACTCTCACTTTGAAGTTAAATCCATTTAGAATCAAAACTGTCGTCTTATCTCATGTCTGTCTGACTATCTAGAGTCTACTCTGCTAGCCGCTGGCCCTCGGATGCTGACAATGAAACTTGTTGAGGAGATTTGCTGAGGTCCTTATATATTCATTAATATGACATGCTAGGATGTCGTGTGCGAGCACTACACCGAAAAATTACGCGAACTTGACTTCGTAGGACCCCTACTTTTTTTTTTTTTTTTTTTTTTTTTACCCATTATTGGCCAAAATATTGGTCCGGCCAAGGCCGGACCGGCCGGACCATCGACGACGGCCTTGATAGTTGATAGAAATATTCATACATAACTATAAAGTGACAGTAAAAACAATTCAGCAGTAATTTAGACAAGTGTAGGACAAAAATCCACTTGGGCAAAGCCCTCAGTCCAAAAATAACAAGGTGGACAAAAGCCCTCCAGTGAAAATGACTACAGACATTGACAAGAAATTTAAATTATAAAAGAAATGTGTTATGACTAAATATGATGCCTTAATTTTTACGTACATGTACTTTGAATATTTAAATACTTATACATATTTCATAATGCTCAAGTGTTAATATTAGGAAGTACACAATACATATATATATAATTATATAAGCAGTACTTTTTTATTCACAAACCTATAACTAAGGAAACTCTTGTTTACATTGATTTCACTAGGATGTCACACAAAATGCCAGATTTGACCTGTATCAACACCTGTCACACAGAAATATTTTATTACTGTGAAATAAATGATGATGATGCGGAATTATTGATGTTGACTACTCAGTATCCGACCAATGGGCCACCTTTGGGAAAAAGCTAGCCTAATATATTAAACTTGAAAAGTTTGACCTATTCAACTAACTGACCTATTCAACTAACATTTTTTCCTGCTGTCAAAACTTTACTCCTAATTTTAACTGTCATTTTTTAAGCACAGTAACACTGTTGCTAGTTCAAATCGCTTTAAACGGTAAAAATCAGAAATAAACTATAAACATGTAATTTATTACTTATCTCAATAAAAAATGTATTCAATGACATATAAACGCATACCAGCGATTTATTTTAAATTTGTATTGTAAATTTGTATTGTAAACATGGGCAAACATGTTATAGTCATCATAAAAAATTCAATTCCATGAAAACTTGATTTGGCCGATTTGGGACTCGGGTGGAGACCGGAAATGAATATTTGTCAGGTAAAGTGGACCGTTTTTCCCTTTCATTGCAAGTTATCACATCCAACAACTTCTAATTGGGCAGTGTTCAGGGGCGTAGCTAGGCCGAAATCGATATTACGCACGCTCAGGCAGGGGGTTAAGGGGGCCGCTTTAGGCCCCCTTGCAGGTCCAGGGCAGAGCCCTGGTAGGGGTCCAGGGGGCGAAGCCCCCGGAAGCTCATTGATTTTCACCATTTAGAGATGTTAAAATTATGCATTTTCATGCCCATTGAGGTCCATAAAATTACAAATTGAAGTCAGAAGGAATTTAATATTATAATTATAATAACTTTTTATGTAATGATATGTGTTGTGTTAATATGTGACGTGATTTAGAAAACGTCTTAGATATAATTGCTAGATCGTATAATAATATTTCAAGGTATTTGATAACCGTTATATAAGGATATACATTGAATAAACAGACGCAAACAAATGACGTGTACGCTTTTACTAGTCAGCAAAGAAAAGTGCCAAACACAAATTTATATACAACAACGCCAGCCTAGATCACCCTATCTCTATGGATCTGCAAAAGTCCTAAGCCAGAGAGATGACCAGTGGTCATCGTTGAGCGCTAGAAAGTCTTTAGCCTTTTCCATCTGATGAATGAACGATCAGCACTGGCATTGCTGGAAGGAAATGCAGACACTTGTTTACATTTGGATAAAGCTCTGTCGGTATATCAGACAGCACAGATTATATAATAAACGGAGACTGCAACAGTGAAGTCTCGCACCGTGTTATAGATTTACAGAAAATAATGTGGTTTCTACATTTTTAGATTGCTTTTCCTCAATTGAAATATCGTTACTAACTAAAATCTTAAAATGTTATCAGTTACTACGTAGCGATGAGTATTATCTTAAATTACTTTTGTCTGCTCAATGTTCGCGTAGCAATCCTGGTATCATCTCTGTTTCTCGTGCTTTGATGAAAAAGGTCGTTCATGGCTGTCATTTACTTATACGGCACACAGCAAGAAAACTGATTTCTTTTTGGGCTAATATGCTATATATCACACTGAAAAGTGTCCTCCGCATTTGTGAAAATATTGCAATTTTTCATTTCTCAGTGTGATATCTAGCATACTCATTTATATATATATATACAGTAAATTTTTGTTATTTGTTTGTTGTTTTTTTTTCCTTTTTTTTTAATTTATAAGAGAGGTGACATACATAATGCCATTACAATAAAACGCATAGAAAATTATTTTATTATTACAGATACTATGATATATACATGTATAGGATCTCACATGAGTTGTCATTGATGTAAAAATATGATGTAAAACGATTAAAGAAAAAGTTACAAACCTTTGACGAGAGTTTAAGAATTTTTTAAGTAATGCCAACTAATACATGTAAGTTTCATTTTTATTACACAACAAATCGCATTCAAATTTGTATAAATAAATACAGTTAATTAAATAAAAGTTATATCGCCTTTTTCAAAGAGTTCAATCAAATTAAATAATGATCACACACGAATACATCTTTCAGATATATTCGTGTTGGATTATATAATTTGCCAATAAGTAACTGATGAAAGAAATTATAAAAGTAAAAAAAATGCCTTTCAGACATAAAAATAAAAGAATTCTATGGCGTACTGGGCCTTTTGAGGTTATACTTTAGGAGCGTCACTGAAAAAGAAAACAACGACAACAAACACAAGAAAAACGTTTTTACTGTTATATAGGTACATATTTTTCTTCTTGTGCATTTTTTGCGATTGCTACAGTTAAAGGGATTTAGTATTTTGTACGGAAGTCAAAATACTACTTTGTTTACATTTTGCTACTTTTATGACAAATAATTTCACATTAAGCGCTACCTTCGTCATGTTAGAAGCATTTAACAAGCTCTGAAACTATTATTTAAATGTTTTAAAGCAGCACACCTCCAGATTCATGCTAATTTTTATGAAAATTTGAAAATGTATTTAACGGTATAATGTTGTAAAGTTACCAAAATAAAATGCAATT